TACAATAATACTGATTCAGATTGAAAGCAAACGAAAAAAAAATATGAAGGCAAGGACTGATACATGGAAAAAGTTAACTAGTCAAAAGATTCTTCTACTATAAATATAATAAACTTGATTCTAAAAACTATAAAAAAAAATTATTCATGGGAGAGAAAAATTTGCTTTCCATACAATAGTGGTTCTCAAATTTTAGTATGCATCACAGAATCACTCACCAGTGGGCTTGATCAAACACAGACTGTTGGCCCCTCTCCTCCCCCTACAAGTTCTGATTTAGTAAACTTGGGTAAGGGTTGGACAACTGCATTTCAAACAAGTCCCCAGGGGTTGCAGAGGCTTCTGACCCAGAGACCCAACTTGTACAGCCAAAATCCATATGGCCACACCAGTGCTTAGGGATAAAAGCCCTGTGCTTATCAGGACGAATGTAGTTTTTATATATTCTAGTTTATTAAGAAGGAAATATATCAAAAACCTCATCAAATGCATGTTTATAATTATACCTGGTATAGGTCTTTTAAAAAATTGTGAAGGGGACCAAAAATACATTTTTTCATGAATAAAAAGGAACGAAAGTTTTACTTAGATTTCAAAGGAAATTCTAGAGATTAAAAAAGTTTCCTATTTTCCCCATGAAATAAAGCCAAGTTTCTTTATATTTAGAAGTCACATTTGGCTCATTATATAATTTACAATCATCTCACAGCTTTTGTGAAATGAAGCTGGATACAAATAATATGAACCGATATAATCAGCTTTTGTAAATGGAATCTAATAACTAACTTAAAAGCAGCTCAAAAAAGGACATCTGATTACTGGAAATACTGAAATGACATATAAAAAGGAGAATGCGCATGAAATGCTTACCCCCTTTGGTTCTGGAACAATCAAATGCGTGCATTTCTTATTGAGGGTCAGCTGGCAATCCCCCCCATAGAACGTGACCAAAGCCCACAGGGCGCTTCTGTCTTCAGACGACACCTGATGCAAAGTGAGAAATAAGGCTGTTACCATACATTTTAACCTGTGCATGTTCATATTTTTACTTTGCTATTAGACTATAATGTGATGTCATAACAATTTTACTTTGTCTACTTTGCTCCTTTGTTAAATGAAATTAACCTAGGAATATTAGTGGAAAAACAGAGAAGCTTTTAGCTATTTGATTATAATAAAAACTTTATTCCTAAAATAGTTTTTATGTATAAATCACTTATTTTTGCCTTATCACCAAATGAATAAAAAAAATTTATACCCACATTCCAAAAACTGAATGGAGGATTATTTCAGTCTATAACCATAAAAAAAAACACACAGGGGGAAAAAAAAAAGAGAAAGACCTAATACTCCATTCCAGCTTCTATTTATGTCATTTCTGAAAATGTTTAAATACAATAGCAATATCAAAACCATATTTCAGGAACTCCTTAAGACTAATGGATAACAAATACTAATTATGAAATGGATAAAATAAAAAGATAAAAAATACAGTGGTTTGTAAGCTCAGGGAAAAACATAAATATTTTTTAAGACAAAAAAAGAAAGCGAGCAAGCATAAAAGGAATAATTCCTATGCTTGCGTAGTGATGAAGACTCCAGATATAACGGCGCATGTTATAAAACAGGCTTTCACTGTAACAGTAAAAACAGCTACCATTTATTGCCTGCCTACTATGTGCCAGGAACTGTGCTAAGTGCTTTTGTATATTCCTACTCCTTAGAGCCGCCACGTGAAATAGGAATCATTAGCCCCATTTTAAAGACAAGGAAACCACCAAATTATACCTAATAATTGGAAAAGCTGGCTTTTGAAACCCAGGTCTGTCTAAACCCAGGTCTAAGTCCAAGCTGTACTTTCCCACCGTTGTACACAGCTTCTCTAAGGGCAGTTACTACTGGTAAAGTAAAAAATAACTTCTAAAAAAATAAAATTTTAGAGTCTGAGAGGAAAAAAGAACATTTAAGAAAAATAAAGATATGAGCATTAATTCTAAGATAATCATTTAACCAAGTGAATTTTTTTCTGGATAAATTTATTATAAATTGAGGATTATGGTTGTTGAAGAATCCTGAACTTTGTCTAAAGTTAATTTTTTAAAGTATTGATAAGTAGCACATTAATTTCTTTTTAATTTCCAGTATGCAGCCTACCAGTAATCTAACATTCTTCATCTACTCTCACCTTTACAAATATTTCCAGAAATTATTTTGTATTCCACATTACTCTGTGAATATTAATAAGAACACAGTAACTTTCTAAAATCACTTTTCAAATCATTATTTTATATCTCTTTAATTTAGTAAGTCAGTGCCACGTTTCAGAAGATTGGACCAGGTTATTTTTATTATAGGCTTTCACAAAACATTTATATCCTGCAACATTTGGAGAGTTGAGATTTAATTACATGATAATACAGATTAATCCAATGACTCATTATATAATCTCTATTCAAAATGAAATTAAAAAACATAATCTTGATATGCCTTTATTACCAAGATTTGGCTATACGTCAGTTAAGTATTATTTTTATTTTACCGACTGCAGTAAGTCTAGTCCTCTATCCTATTCGGCCTGTATCACAGGCGCCGACCTCAACGGTGCGGTATATTGCTGTGGAAAGACCATCAGATAGGGAGGAGCGCACCTGGAATTAGCGCGGTGTCTCCAACAACTAGCCTATGTCAGCCTGGAAAACGCCCATGACCCAGATTCTTCACTGCTGTGCGTTTGGCTTAAATGACTTTGAACATCCACACCAGCTCATTTAATGAATCTCCATCAGCACAACTAATAATCAAGAATGCTCTTTCCACACCAAAATGTTAACAATAGTTACTTAGTGGTGATAGGATTATGGGGACATTTTTATTTTCATTTTTATACTTTTCTGTATTTTCCAAATTTTCAAAAGCATTAATTTTATAATCGGGGAAAAGTACTTTTTTTAAAGCCATTTTTCCAAAATAACAATCTTATCATGTTGGCTAATAAAGCTTGGATGTCTCCCCAATGCCCTCAGGCCAAAACACAAAATCCCCCATGTGGTGTCGAGGCCCTCCCTGGCCTGTCTGGCTCCTGACCGCCTCCTTTTCATTAGTGCCACCCGCATGCACCTCGAACTCCAGCCGTACTTAGATGACATTCTTCAAACACGCTGCCTTTCCCAGTGTCCAGGCCTTACCCAGCCCTCAGCTCCTCCTCCTCCAAGACTCAGCTCAGGTATCATTACCGCTGCGCCCCCACAAGCAAGCTGGACAGAAATCTAAATACTTCTCACACCCTACAACCGCTTATTTGTCTCCCCACCCTCCCCCACCCCCTAAAGCGACTCGGAGGAGAGGACTAGAATTTCATCTCTGTGCCCCCAGGAATGAACACTTTCCTTTAAACCAATCAGGAACACTCTCCCTTCTCCTTCAGGTCTCACCACCCCCAGAAAGACACTCCTCCCTTCTAGTTTAGTGACTTTCTCCCTATTCAGTCTTGGTTATGAACTCTAATGCTACTTATTAAAGACTAGACTCTTACAAAAATTATGTCTTAAACTTCTTTGGTATCTTTCACAGTACCTAGTACAGTGCAAGGCACATGGGTAGGCAGTCAAGAAATACTGTTGATTCAGACAGAATGGAAAGGACTTTTATTTTCAGTCTTCTAGATTTAAATTATAACCTGGCCAGGCTCTCCGTTAGACTCCTGACCTAGTCCCCGAAACCTACCCAGCACATTACAACAGAGGCCTCAGCCTGCATCAATACCGCGTCAGAAGAAGGCAGATGATCTCTGTGCTTCCCAACTTCTGCTGGCACAAGCTCCCTTCCCTACCTCTCCCTGGGAGAGCTCTGGAAGACTCCAACAAAGAGCTCCAGCTTGTATCAACACCCTGACGGGGAAAAGACAGAAGGTCACTGAGAACCACCAAGCAAACAGTCCTTTCGTAGAGGTGGGTCCTGCCTGGTACGTGTATGTGAGCGCGTGTGTGCACGGGTGTTGCAGAGCGCGGACAAGGTCTTCAATCAGTGCGGAGACTAACCATCATGATCGCTCCCAACTGTTTGTTTCTATACCTGGTACCCACTTGCATTTGTGCATATGTTGCAACATACCATATTTATTCGCACGTCTGTCCCCTTCTAGACTGTATGCTGAGGGGGAAATCACATCTTAATGACTCTGTACTCCTTTGCATTCTTCCTGTCACAAAGGAAGTACTCATCAAGGATTTGTTGAACCAAAGCCCCTTAGCTGCACACTGTACATAGGTTTATTAATATATCTTAAGACCAAATTAACATTTTTTAGCAACCACAAAATATCAGAGCTCCCAGTGCACTTTTCTTAAACTAAAATTTCCAGGGTTTCCTCACATAAGCTACTATCAAAGTCTCCCCGTCCTTATTAGAACAATCTTTCTAAATTTAAAAAGTGTTTTCTATGTGACCCCATGACACACTGGAGTAAGTGATGAACTGTGACAGTAAGTATAGTAGGTGACCCATAAAGAGCATACCGATTCTGGGTTCTGATTTTTCTTACCTAATGAATTTGCTAAAAGGATACAAAATACTATCAAAGAGCTTGCTGATAAATTCATCTTTTTGTCCGTCAGACCCAACCGCTCCCCTTGACAAATTTAGCACCTATATAAAATTCTGCCTTTCATCTGGAGGTGGGTCAGCAGCACCTCTGCTGAGTTTGTCACCAGCAGGCCCCCTCCCGGACCATATAATCAAATGACACTCTTCTACCACTAAGAATCTAGACACTTGTGTTCTCTGACAGCGTGCTCACCTAACTGTTTCTTCCTAGGAGACCCATCCCCCTTCCCCGACAGGGACCGCACTGGTATCTTCTCAGCCCAGAACCCAAAACCTACACAGACCCCTAAGCCTGTGTGACGCTCACTGAGCCAATCAATACTCCTTTACCACTTTCTATCATCCTTTTCCTCCTGGGTCACAGATCAGGACTGAGGGAGTATGAACAACTACCTCCTACCCACTTATGCTTTAAACCTTTATCTAGGATGTTGCTATTTCCCAGCAATAAAAAATAAAAACGATTAAGTCTGACTTTATTCTTGGTTTCTAAAAATAACATTCTACTCCTCCAATATCATCTCTATTTATTTTCAAGCTCCTTTTTCTTCTCCCCAAATCTCTTTACACGTCAGCCAGGGCTGCATTCCCAGGTATCTGCTCCTCTCTCTACCTCACTCTGGGATTCTCCTTCACGCCACAGCACCTCCGAGTTCCTACGTCTGCAGAGCTCGACACCCAGACTGCGTGTTCCAAACCAGCGTCATCACCTTCTCTCACAAATCAGGCTCCCTCTGCGCTCCACCTGCTCCGGCGATGCTCCCGCTTCAGGGGGCTCCTCATCTGAAACCATGCTGCGACCTCTAGCTCCTGATCCCACAGGAAGGCACCCACCACGGGCCTGGCACAGAGGTGCATGCAGCGTCCCAAGACACCGAGACCTGCTGAGTCCCATCTGTTGCCGGGTTCCACGTTCTACCTGCTGCCTTGGACCTGGATCTCCACCCTGTCAAAACTCCAGTCTGCCCTGCCCCACATGCCACCCTCAGAGCTCACAGACCGGTTTTACCTGCAACCACCACAGGTGAGTTTCATTTTGTTTGCTTTTCTATTTCCCAAATTTTCTGATGCAAACATTTATAATCCAAAATTGAATATATAAGAAAAAAAGTGAAGAAGCATCTTGCTGCCTACCCTACCCGTCCCAACTCACAAACCTTGGTTTCAAGGCTTCCTATCATCTCTAACATCCTCCTACCCGACCATTTTTCCTTCTACACCCAAACACATAACCTTGGCTCTGACTCAGTCTCCTCATCACTGGCTCCTGTGCATTCCGGATCTCTCCTTCCATCTTGCGTTATTTGCAGTGCCTCCCTGCCTCCCTGCCTATTGTCCAAAGCCCACTCAGCTTGCACATCTGTTACCAAGGCTCTCTTCACCTCACAGCCCAGACAGAGGTCCTCCTTCCTGAACCCACACATTCACGCCTGTGTCCTGATTTAGCATTCTGTCATACATGTATCATGTGTACCATAACTCATTTATAATGCGTATTATACAACAATCTATTACAAATATTATAACCTCTGTCAACCGTAACTATTAGTTCTTTCTTTGCAAGACTAATAGTATTCTCTGGTGCTAAATTCATAGTGAAGATTTAACAATATCTAATTACCTAATTTAAAACCCTGTGATCATTTTATACTCATATACTTTTGATCTTCTCACTTATTTCACCAAGTCTGTTAAATCCATGCTACTGTGACCTCAATCTCTGAAAAATGCCCCCAGGACTCCCTGGCCCATCCCAAGCTCGGAATGGCCCTTCTTCCTCTCTCCCCTTCTCATTCAATTTGAATCCTGTCTGGATAATCGGCTCTGAGTCTCTGAAACCCAGAAATCAACCAATGCAAATAATTAAATGATAAATTCACACTTTAGCCAAAGTACACTGTGTTTATGCAAAAGTAGTAATAGTAATAAAATGTTTTTAAAACTTTTCTGATATGTTGATTGTAAATTTGGAACATACAGAGAAGTATAAGGAAAACAATAAAAATTACATGTAACCATAGCACCCAGCTTAAAAACTTTTCATTCTAGCCAACTTTAAAGATCATTCATGTAAACATACACTTAAAACAGATATGAAAAAACATTGCAAAATACAAATATCAAAAAAATTTCTGTTAAAGAGAAAAAAAAGAACCAATTTTGCGTTTTTAAGGCTCTCCATCAAATTGATGTAGCAAAAACAAAATGAGAGGATTTTAAAGAACTTCCAGAATTTATAAAAGACAGAAACAAAAACACAGAAACCACAGATAAACCAATTTACTTACAGCTTAGACAGTAGGGAGAGAGACAAATCCAGACTGGTAGTATCCTTTGTATTAACAGTTGAGTCTGGCCAACAACCTAACAACACGGAACCAATATTACCTGGTTCCCTAATCCTCTGTCACAAAGGTATAAGGAAAAGTGAGGCTATAATCAAATTCCTTTCCATGTCACCTAATATCTTTGACATGCCCCTTTCTCAAAGGTTTGCATAGAGAAGGAAGACTAAATAGTTTCTCAAAAATACCACCTACAAGCACCAAAACGACAGCCTGGGATGAGGCTGTCAGGTCAAATGAGAGGGGACACTCTATAATGCACTTTTTCCTGTCTAAGGACCACTGATTTTAAACGAATTATTCCATGCAATTTAAAAACAAGTTTAAACAATGCCAATTTGATTTTTTATAATACTTTTTTAATTATAATCTGAGGTTTCTTAGCTGGGGGTGAGGAGGACAAATACAATAAAGAAATACTAAATATTCACTTCTCTCACTACCTAGAATTAACCACTGTTAACATTTTGGTCCCTTCACTCAGATATTTCTTATATATTTTATTTTGACGATGTAATATTGTAAATACCTATGTTATATCCTGCTTTTGTCCATTTAAAACATTTCTCATATCTTTACAAATTTCCATAAAACATAATTCAAAAATAGCAATGCGGCTATTGTATAAGTATACATAATAGGTTTCCTAAACATTTCCAAACAGTGGATGATCTAATTGTCTCTGATTTTACCATCTTATAAATAATGCTGTGAACATCTTTATACGTCAATCTGTCCTTACTTCTATCAACTTGGGATAAATTTCTAACATAAGGGAACTACGGGAAAGAACAGAATGAGTACTTTAAGGTTCTTGACACTGCTAACCTTTTCTAGAAAACTGTTACCTTGATTTACCTCTTGCGGACAATGAGTAGGGGAGTTTTCAGCATCTCCACCAGCATTGAATGCACTGTTATAAATTTGATGAACAAAAATTCTTATCTCATTGCTGTTAAAATGTTCATGTATTTGATTATAAAGAGTATCAAATGCTTTGTTACATTTATTATTTGTAATTCCTCTTTATAAGCTGTAAATTCATTTCTTTGCCTCATTTGCTAAGGTCTTCATTATGTTTTTCTTATTGGTCTGTAGGAGCTCTTTATTTATTAAGGCAATTCTTCGCTTGTATTTCTGACTGAATTTTCCTCGTCATCTTTTAATTTCATTTTTAATATTTTTTCATATTCAAGTTTTAAATCTTTTAAATTAAACCATTTTCACCCACTAAAAGCTTTAAATCTTAAAAGCATGAATATTTAAATATATTTAATGGTGTCATAAGTTCATATTAGACATACAGTTTATTAAATAGCTTCTCTAAAACTGGTTAACAAACAGGTAACAAGTGCAATGACAGAAAAACTCAGAACTGTCATATGTAAATAATACAAGACCCTCTGTAACCATGCTTACCTGAGAAAGGCAGGCAGTGATTCCAAAAAATATTTGACATGACTCCGGGGAAAAACCATTTACTCTGTTTCATAGTTATTAAGTTTACAATGAAATAAGATTAGTGCAACCTGTATTTCACTAACAGACATTACTCACCCCCTCCCTCCCACTCAGTCCATTTATGAAAGCGACAGACTTAAGATGGCCAAAGAGAGTGCAGGGTAGACTAAAGAGAAGCGGGTGGCACAGATAGAACTGAACAATTTTCTGTAAAGCACATTTTAAAATCCAATCTCTGCACTTATATAATAAATCAAATAAGCGCAATATACTCATGGGGGAAACCATTTGACCTCTGACAGCTAGCTAACTATACACACACATACACACATACATGCACACAGAGGGCGCAGCAATTATTTTAAAAGAAAATTGAAAATGTCTTAAGTTTATTTTACAATGAAACATTAATGTGACTGCTTCTGTTGCACAACAGAATCTTTCATAAAAGAGCTCAATTGAGTTCTAGCTTTATTATCACCACTAACTTGGTGAACTTAGACAAGACACTTGTGAGCTTCAGTTTCCCTTATAAAACAAGAGTTGGAATATATATATAATTCCCTCCTAGGTCTAAAACTGATTTTTAAAATTTGTTCAAAATGATTACTGAGGCCAGGCACTGTGGCTCATGCCTGTAATCCTAGCACTCTGGGAGGCCGAGGTGGGAGGATCACTTGAGATCAGGAGTTTAAGACCATCCTGAGCAAGAGGGAGACATCGTCTCCACAAAAAACAGAAAAAATCAGCTGGGCCTGGTGGTGTGCACCTGTAATCCCAGCTACACAGGAGGCTGAGGCAGGAGGATCACTTGAATTTAGGAGTTGGAGGTTGCTGTGAGCTATGATGACTCCACTGCACTCTAGCTGGGGCAACAGAGCGAGACTCTGCCTCAAAAACAAAACACCAAAATGATTACTAAGAGCATACTATAAGCCAGACACTGGGAATGTGGCTAAACATGAGGCAGACATGATCTCAATGTGCCTATACTTTATAGTCTATTTAAAACAAACGCAATGACTTTTTTTGAACAATGTGGAGTGTGCAGAAATGAAAATGGGTTAAGGTATTAATATTACTTCTCTTTCCCTATAGGAGAAAAATATACCTATTAAGATAGGTGAATTAAGAAAAATACCAGATTGAAAATTCTGTTGCAATTGTGAAGTCTCCTATACAGGTAGACAGATATATTGACTAATTTTATAAACATTTGAGACCTCCCGGACTGAAACAAACTCTGGAGTTCAACATGACACCTTCAGCCCCATTATCCAAGATCCGTTCTCATCGTCCTATCTTGGCTCAGGATTGTCTACTCTCAAAAACTTGGGAAACATTAACAAAGGCAAATCTCAGAGTACAACGTCTACCAGAGAGTATGGGGGATTGGGTTCCATTTTTCCATTCCTTCAGGCTTCTTGTGGATAGGCAAGTAAGAGCTCAAAGGAGATGACTAGAATGTTTACTGCAATACAATTCACAATTGCAAAGATGTGGAAACAACCCAAGTGCCCATCAATACATGAGTGGATTAATAAAATGTAGTGTCTGTATAGCATGGAGTACTACTTAGCCACAAAAAACAACAGCGATAATGCACCTCTTGTATTATCCTGGATGGAAGTGGAGCCCATTCTACTAAGTGAAGTATCACAAGAATGGAATACAAGCACCACATATACTCATCATCAATTTGGTATTAACTGATCAACACTTATGTGCATATATAGTAATAACATTCATCGGGTGTCGGGCAGGTGGGAGTGGGGAGGAGGGGATGGGTACATTCACACCTAATGGGTACAGTGCACACCATCTGAGGGATGGACACACTTGAAGCTCTGACTCGGGTGGGGCAAAGGCAATATAAATAACCTAAACATTTGTACCCCCGTAATATGCTGAAATTTAAAATAAATAAATAATAAGTTAATAAATAAAGGAGATGACAGCTTCTTAAGGAAGTGTTGCGTGGAGAGTAAACGACCTAGAACAGGAAAACTAGCTTCTCAGCCTCAAAAATATCCATCCCTCTCCCAGTTCTTTTTACCTGTGCTTATAAAGAAAACAAACACAAAATTAAAAAACAACAAAAAAAATCCAAGAATTAATTTCCTCCAACTCTTTAGACTATAGACGAGAAGATGAGAAATATTAGAATATTTTAGTTGGAGTTGCTAAAGTTCCGCACATCCTCCAAGAACTGCTGTTTTTGTTTTTGTTTTGAGATAGAGCCTCACTCTGTAGCCCTGGCTAGAGTGCAGTGGCATCATCATAGGTCACTGCAACCTCAAACTCCTGGGCTTAAGTGATCCTCCTGCCTCAGCCTCCCAAGTAGCTGGGACTACAGGCACGCACTACCAGGCCTGGCTGATTTTTTCTATTTTTGTAGAGATGGGGGTCTTGCTCGTGCTCAGTCTGGTCTTGAACTCCTAAGTTCAACGATCCTCCCGCCTTGGCTTCCCAGAGTGCTAGGATTACAGGCGTGACCCACAGCACTCAGCCAACAACTGCTTTTAAAGGAATGTTTTCTCTGTTTATTCGAGGTCCTCTATAAATATCTCATTAAAATAAGATTCCTTCCACCTGCATTAATTCAACAGATAGTAAGTATACTCAAAGGAACTTCCTGGCAGAGCCACAGGGTGAACGCCATAATCTCTTGCCGGGTCTAAAATTTTTGACATAACTATATGGTGTCGGGTACTCTTAAAAGTGATTCCCACAATCAGGTTGTGCTTGGTGTGACTTGCCAGGGAAGCTCGTCCTTTCAGAGTGAAACAGGAGCCATCGGGCCTGGCAGAGTGCACAGGAGGCCTGTGCACGTGTCATTTCGGGTCCTGCCGCAGTGCTGGAGCAGGTGCACGGCAAGCAATGCGCCATGAACGAACACAAGCATGCAAGCAGGCTCCCTGCAGACAGAATTGCGTCTTCTCACAACTCTATTTCCAGTACCCAACCCACGGCATATGTGTACTGAATTAATACGCCTTCTATCCAAAGTAATTAAAAAGATTAACAATGCATGTTATAAAACTAAAAATTTTCTTCTCATGTTCTCTTTCCCAATCTAGTCTTCAAATAGTTCATGATTTGGTTCACACAGACTTAGAATTTTAGAAAGATTCTTTGTCTAGCTAGCACCACAAAAGCCAAAGAGAACTAGAACTTGTGCCTGCCAGTTCCTGTCCTAGAGCTACTTATTGTAGCTGGTCCCCCTTTTACACTGGATAACGTACATGAAGTGTGGTAAGCGGCGGAAAACAGGAGGGACAGAGAATGCAGACAAAAAGATTTGCCCTAGCCGACGAATCCACTTTTCATTCAGGAACTCTCATCTCCACCTTCAACCCAGAGTTATTCCTTCTCCCCTCCCGCCTCGGCAAAAGGATACGGCAGAAGAGCTCCACACTGCACGGACAAAGTCACCCAAGAAGGCTGAAAAAGAGCAGAGTACCTCAAATGAAAAATTGTTTTCAATTTATAATCAAAATGACATTATTTTACCAGTGTTGTTCCTAGAAATTAAAAGATTCTGTTATAACCGATCTTAAAACATCCAGATTACAAGTATATTCATAGTGGTAGAAAAGATTAGTTATTAACACCCACGGTGAAAAACCCAATTACAAAATGAAGCACCGCCATGTTTAAAAAAATTATTATGCACAGACATTTAAATTCCAGGTTTACACACTTACTACTGCCGGCCTCCCAGCTAGAGGGACAGGGAACCACTCCCCATCCCACCCTGCCACCTCCACATCCAGTCAGCCCCTCATCTGGCCCCTTCTCAGATCTTGAATTCAATCAAGTCCAACTTCATAAGGTTTTTTTTTCATGAAGCCAAGTAGATACAATGTTTATAAACCACAAAAATTACATCTGCCTGGTAATTTATTATAAATTTCAAAACTCAGACTAATTATAAAACAGATTACTTACTTCCATTTTGAGCAAGATATTTTTAAAAAAATATCTTATCTTTCTATATTTAACGTTTAAAATTACACTAATCATTGAAGCTCTACTTCACAAAATTAATACCTAAAAATACAGTAATGCCCACATTACTATATTCTGGGAGCTGGTGACTTCCAGCAACTTCAGCCAACTGAAACATGTATGTATACTCATTACTTATCCATCAACTCATTCATCAAATATTTATTGAGAATCTATTTTGTGCAGAGATGTGCAAGGTGCTGAGGATATAACGATGAAAAAGAGAAATGCAGTCTTTGCTCTCCTGCAACTCATCTTCTAGGCCGATCTTCAAACTGTTTTTGTCATGTACACCTTAAATGAATTTCAGACAAAGAAGTGCCCCCCTCATCATTTTTTAGAGGAAATCTACAATTTTTCAGCACTTTAAATAAGCATATTTTCTGTAAGATAGGCATATTAAATGTTTTATAAAATAAAGAATGGCTATACTTGGGAAAATTATCTCATGATGATTTGATAATTTTACCAAAGGTTTTAACTAACTTATTGGATAAGCTGTACCAAATCTGAAAGAAAGCACCTGGTGTTTCTATCCATGTACTTTATCCAACAAAAATCTTCATATTTTTTGACAGTCCTGGGAAAATTCCAGTTAAAATTAAGGAATGGGCTAGCATCAGGAACATGTATTGGCTTTGACTCTTCTGAATACAGAACACCCTCACATCGGCCAAGCGTTACTCTCAACAGTGACGCCAGAAGCCCCGCAGAGCCCACAGGTCAAGACTGAGCACTAAGTGAGGATTCTCTGAAGCCACTATTTCTAGCTGTCCCTTTGTCTGGTGTCCAGGATCTTCAGAGCCTGAGCCAATGCACTATAAGATTAGCCTGGGTGATGATATGACTCTTGCATAAAGTGGGAGGGGGCCACTGTGACACAGGCACGTTCCCAGACAGTTTCAGGAAGGACTAAACTGGAAATGCCCCCTACAACCATCCACGCAACATATACCCTGCAAAGCCTTCCCCCTGGGGAAGTGGGGTGGGGTATCCCAGTTTAAAGACTGCTGGTGTAGCTATCATAAAGTCCAGTCCAAGAAGTTGAATTAAGCTGAGTCCCAGGCAAGTCTAATAAAATAATGCAAAGTTAAGAAGTAGGCCACAATCAAGGTGAGCAAAGGTATGATATATTAAAAAAAAAAAAAAAAAGTAGGCCACAGTATGAAAGCAGAAATGGAAAACTATAAAAGCACAGTAATGAGCTATTTATCCTGAAGGCAAAGAGCAATACATAAAAATAAACCCACTACAAGTCAGCATAATTAACATTTACAATGATGCCCCAAAACCACTGAGAAAAATATCTCTATTAAAAATATTATTTAAAAATTTTTGGTGCCTAAAGAAGCAAGTTTTAGACATTTATAAAATTCAAATATGTAAATGATGCATAAACTGTCAGTATGCATAAGCATGCCTTATTTTTCAAATGCTCTGTCAAATTTAATATCAAGGTAAAGTCGGGGATATGCCCCTAGGGAACCAGGTCTCAGCCTTCAGGCAACTAAATGCAGACTCCATTATTAGCAGTAGGATCCAAAATAAGAAAGGCCTATAGGTTCAGACTAAGAATATTAGGATCAACTAGAACTACCCTAGAGTGAACAGAAACTGTTGAGTCAGCTCTGAAAAATGCTACCACCCTGTAATGTAACAGAATAGTCCCTGGACAATATAGGTGCTGTCACAAATTACGAGCTGGCTGGAATGCTGAACTAGATACAGAGGAAACATGCTGGCATCCAGTTGAAAGTACTATAGCCACAGGAGAAGGAAGTGGGATGGAGATATATTATAGTAAAGTAGACTGGCAACACAGCGACAATCATAGAAGCTCACTGCTAATTGTATAAGTGATGGGTATTTTTATGCAGCCTTATACTGACTTTCCCAAGAATACGAGTACTGTGTCAAATATAAGAAGACTGCTGTGTTTAGCTTAGAACTTTACCAAGGAATGATCACCACTCTAAAATGTCACCTCACAGCTGGAGATTTCCACTTGTGGGATATAAGGATCAATCTGCATTTTTGTAGCAGTTTACATTCAGTGATTCCGTACATAGCGGCATTTGAAAATTGCATCCCATCCTCTAATACAGTTGTACCCAAGTATTTACAATGAAATACATACTTATTAGTATTTGTTTTCCTTTTATTTCTCATTTATATTTCAGTTTGGGCAATTTATATTACATATACATGAATTCATTCCAGGATAAGAAAGGGGGTGCTACAAAGTATTTATTATGAAGGGGGGGTTTAAGAACTACTGTTGTAGTTGGTCAGGAAACAATGACCTAGGCCCCAAAAATGCATTTATAAGACTACTTTCACTACAAAATCTGCATAAGATATGCGAAGTCACTTTAACTAGACAATAGCTCCAGGCTATTGCCTGAGTGATAGCAAGTGCAGGAAGGGGAGGGGACTGAGATACAGTCCCTATAGCTAAGGAGAAGGAAGCAAACCAGGGACAGAAACATGGCCCAAGGAAGAGGGCGCCCTAGCTCACAGCCTTGTCCCCATGACAAGTCATACAAAGTGGCAACAAGTGAACCGACCAGGAAACCTGCCGATAATCAGGCTTCACAAAAGGACCTGCACACAAAATGTGCCTAAGCCGGCCAGGCTCAAACAAGCACCCTGCGTGTGAACGTGACCATCATATTCACCGATGCAAATTAACACTCCTTTGACTTAGACAGCAGTCTCTTAAGAGTTTGGCTTATAAAAACCTTCTCTTGAGACATCCACTTTCAGGTTTATTTTCAAAATCTAGGTTTGTGAGCCTTCAAAGCAGAGTTTCAAACCCTGGATACCAGTGAGGTTACCACTTCCCAGTAGCCAGACAGCTTCTCTGCTCCCCAATTCTACTTAATGACCATTTTTTTTTTTTTTTTTTCTAATTTCAAAGACAGGGTCTGCTTGTGTTGCCCAGGCTGGAGTTCAGGAGCTACTCACAGACATGATCATTGCGCACTGCAGCCTCAAACTCCGGGACTCAAGCAATTCTCCAGCTCCCGAGTAGCTGGGACTACGGGCACGTGCCACTGTGCCCGGCTATGCCACTTCACCGGGCTGGCAATCTTTCTTAACTCCTAACACCGTCATCACTAAACACAGTAACTTTCATACTGATTTTTTTTAAGGCAAAAGGATTGAAGAAGAGGTGAAAAAACGGTAGTGGTATAGAACTATTTCTAAATAAATATCTGATAGAGAAGACAAGAAAGAAAATTGAAGGATTAGAATTACAAAATTAACTGATTTTAAAAACACGCATTTAACAGCTCACTTACCAGCTGCAACAAAACAGCACACAAAATCTGCACAACTCACCCACCAGCTGAAGCCCTCACCGTCTATAATAAACTACTCATAGGTCAAGGTGGCTAGCAGTCCAGATGGACACCAGGTGGACAGTGTGAGTGATGATCATTGTGACCCTTGTCAGAAAGTAAACAGCGTAATTAATGGAGAAGAGGATGCCCTTCAGCTGGTCTAACTGAAAATTAGGACCACTTGCCACAGTGGGGATGGAAAGTAACCCTTCCTCAGGAGTCAGCTCTGGATGGGCCTTAGCCCGCTTTTAGAATCAAGCACACTCTTACCATAATCCAAACACCCATCTGATTCAAGGCAACAGATCTGCTTCCTACGACAGGTTTCCTTGGCTCAGAGAGCTTCCAGGCAGTAATAACACGAGATCACGCCTATAGGAGGTGTAAAAGATGATCTAGAATGATTTATAATATATAGAAACCTTGCTGTATCTTGTTTGAACTGAAAGGGCCTGAAGCTAAGGTAGGTCGAGATGTTAAAGGCCTTTATTCACCTGGCGACTTTCCACATAAAGCGGAACTTCAGCAAAGACCCTGAGAAGGGCTACACTGAAACTTCAATGTATTGCTTGCAAGATACATGATGAAAAGATATAAAAGGAATTATATTTACTACCGACCTTTACGACAGGTAAGTCAAAGACTTCCCTGGCTTCTCCAACCTCTGGATTGTCCCCATCCTCTGAAATTATGTGTGAGGCCAGCGCGTTGTATGAGACTTCTTTAGCTTTGCCAGCTTTCAGAAGCTGAATAACCTAAAAAAAAAACAAAACAAAAAAAGAGAAACCCACACAAACTAAAATGGAAAATACTGTATTGCATTCTTGATTTAAATAAATAATTATTGAGAATAACAAAATTTTTTAATAAAAACACACCATATTCCCCATAATAAAATTAGCAGCCTTTCCTTTTACTCTGAATAACATGCCAATGAAAGACTTGGGGACAATAAAAAGCAAATCTTGATTCATTGGCCAAGTATGGGGGCTACAGTGTGCCAGGCCCTTGACATCGTCTGTCCTGCAGACAGACTGGACAGATAAGGACACAGCACAGTAACTGACTGCTACACACATGACACTCCTGGGCTTCCAACCTAAAGGCTTGGGGATGGGTAGTTTCACCACAATTAGGGAAAGTTTCTGGAACAGCAGATTCATGAGCAGAATTCTTACGAATTTATAGGTGTCAGACAGGCAAAAATATACACAGTGTGGGGTGAGGGAACAGTGTTCAAGGCACTGGGCAGGTGAATATAGATCACACCATAAACCACCTGTCTTTTATGCTATGAAAGGAAGTTTGCATTTCATTCTGAGATATCTGCAGAGCCAGTGAAGGAGTTCACGCCGAAAAGGAGCACGATCAGATTTTATAGACAGATGACTGTCGGAGTGCCAAGAATGGATTAGGTTGACGACATGGGTAAAGGCAGGAGGCCAGTTAAGAAACAACTGCAATAATCCAGGTGAAAGAGGCAGGTACCTGAACTAAGGCAATGACACTAAGGATACAAAGAAGGAAGATGTGGGAGAAGCAGCCCTGGCGACTGGAGCGGTATAAGCAGGAGAAGAATGACTGGAACGCTGGGAAGTAGCAGGACCATTCGCTGAGGAGCACGTCAGAAGAACAGAGGGTGGGGAACACAAGAGCGTGTTTTAGTTTGGGCACATTGTTCTTTGGAGGCCAAGTATAATAGCTGGCAAGAAGCATCCAGTTCTATCTAGAAGAGGATGTGGATCTCCCCTGACAGAAAGTCGCCAGCATATTCTGCAGATGGGACAATGAGATCCCTGGAGTGAGGGAAATGGGGCCACCCACCACGACAGTTGAGGGGCAGGTGGGGGGCAGTGTCAGAGCAGAGCAGTGTCAGCAGAAGCCAGGGGAGGTGAGCCTTCAGGAACAGTTAATAGTCAAATGCATCAGAGAAGGTGAGCAAGGTACAAACTGAACGCACCAGCGTGAAAGCAATATTGTACCCACATAGCTAATGTGACCCACAAGTGGGACAACCTTTTTAGAATATTTTATTGACCATCAATAGGCAGGAACTAGAGCAGATGCTAAAACTTCTTTAATAAATGAGAAAGCCATAGGTACCAGCCAGGAGCCACTCTACCTTTCATTCTCCCTTGACCTCTAAGCATCTTTAGCTTCTCGCATCCATTCGACTCCTTTCGCAGAAACAGGCACCCCCTTCAACTACCCTCTGGCCTGCATTTCAGACCCCACTGCCTTTTCTGTGAGCCTTGCAATTCCAACCTCTCCTGTCAATGGCTCTGCTCGCTTCTCCCAGAAAGTCTCCCACGTCCTTAGACAATGTGCTAAGACAATCCTGTGTGGGACACATTCCTCCCCTGTCCTTTTCTCTTCCTCAGGCACCTTCCTCTGCTTCCTTTCAGTGACAAATTTCCTCAGTCTAACCTGTCTTCACTCCCCAGTCTTCAACTCCCTGCAGTCTAGCTCCTTCCATCAACACCACTGAAAAATACTTCTTCAGAGCTTTCATGGACTTTGAGAATACCGAAACCAACAGCTTCTTTTCAATCGCCACACTACTGAAACTCTGTCGTAATACATTCATCCATATCACTCGCTCCAGATACAGTGATATCACACCAGTGCATCCCAAATATATTAATGCCTTCATTCCTCAGCACACACATTCCACATGAACAGAACAATCTGTCACTCTCTTAGCTACTGCTTGTCTCAACACCCAACCAAAACTGCATCTACTGACTGACATTTTCGTGGTGTCTTCTATGCCTTCCAGGGGAGAAATCTGCTCTTACAGTACCTGTCACCTTGTCCTGTAATGCATCCAGGTGTGCTACCTTCCCCCACCAAAAAGGGGTCCTCAAGCATAGGTACCATGTCTTCTTCTTCTTTATAGCATACTTGGTACCTAGTCCAACGCCTGAAATACACCAGTGTTCAACACATGAACTTTCTATAAGATTCAGAGAATCAGATGTTCAGGCTCTAAACTTTTCAGAAAATACACTGTCTCAGATGAAAGTGGTTTGCCAGAGACATTTTTAAGCACTTAGGTTTAATAGTTGAGCAAATATGGTTCCAGGTCAGCTTGCTCCAGGTTTTAAGTAACATTTGGTTCAAGTCCCCTGTAAGAGCCGAAGTCCTAAAATGAAATCGGAGAGGTGGGAGAGAAGAACGGTGGCTAGTGGGGGGGAAAAAAGGGAAATTACCAATACTGGAAAAAGCTAGCAGTGTTACAGACACTCATTTTGACCACTCTGGGCTCAGCATCTGTTTAGCTCTTTAAATTCAAAGCTAGAAGTCTTATCACCCTGAAGTTACAGTGGAAAAAAATCCAAGAAAGTTCAAGTACTAAGACAACAAGTACAAACCCCCGGAAGGCCAGGACCAGCCTCGCACAAGTCCTTCCACACTACCCAGTCTAAGTGTTAGCCGCTGCGCTCCCAGGCCTAGTTCTCATCACCTGGCACCTCCATCCTCCAAGGTTAGCACCACTGATGTGACACCCAAGCCGACGTAATTGCACAGTTAAACTTCGAGAAAGGAAGCATGTGGAAGCCTGACCCGAACAGGCTACCGGACTACGATTCATTCCTACCAGGGACTGCTAACAGTGTGATGATTAAACAGATGCATTACTTAGGAAAACCCACAATATCCTTTGGCGTGAGCCCAAACTGCAAAAAATGAAACGTTTGATGTGATAATGGTGCTACCAAGTTATTTTCCATTTACTGTATACTTCACCCAATTAGGAAAAGCAAGGAATAGGAGTGCAGCCCCCACGCGCAAGGACCCACGCAGGTGGGAAAGGAGCTGCTCAGCCCCGCGCGCGACCGGAGCGGCCCCAGGCCACTGTCCCCGCCTCTGCCAGGGGTCCCCGTCCCCACCTGTCTCCTGGTCCCCCTCAGACCCGCTCTTCTGGGAGCCGAAACACCAGGAGTAGGGCAGGGTGACGATGCGGCCCCGCGCGAATCCCGCTCCCGAAGCGAGTGGGGCCGAGGCGACGCCGGAGCGGGGCCCGCGGGCGGGGGACGGTGGCAGGGGGCCCGGGCCGGGCGCGGGGCCGAGCCAGGACCCCACGTGCCCCCGTCCGCTCGTCCCGCGGTCCCCTTTCCCCGCCCCTCCCCCTCGCAGCCGCGGCCCGACCCGCGCCCGGCCGCCCCTGCCCCGCGCAGCCAGG